TTTTGTCAGTTTTGGTTAAAAGTGATATTTTCAACTTCTTGTTAAAAACCGCAAGTCGAAATGCTTTAATATTACATATATAGGTACTACATGTAGACCTTTCTCAGATTTGTTCATTTTGTAATGATATCTTTAATTCTCTAATTTTGGTGAATATTTTTGTCATTTTTGGTAAAAAGTGATATTTTCAACTTCTTGTTAAAAACCGCAAGTCCAATTGCTTTGATATTACATATATAGGTACTACCGGTACATGTGGACCTTTCTCAGATTTGTTCATTTTGTAATGATATCTTTAATTCTCTGATTTTGGTGAATATTTTTGTAATTTTTGGTAAAAAGTGACATTTTCAACTTCTTGTTAAAAACCACAAGTCCAATTGCTTTGATATTACGTATATAGCTACTACATGTGGACCACTCTCAAATTTGTTCATTTTGTAATGATATCGTCAATTCTCTAATTTGTCATTTTTGGTAAAAAGTGATATTTTCTTCTTGTTAAAAACCACAATTATTTATGGTGAAAAATGATATTTTTGAATTCTTGTTGAAAACAGCAAGTCTCATTGCATTGATACTATGCATATTGTTCATTTTCTAATGATATCTTCTGTTCTTTAATTGAAATGTGCATTGCTAACAGCGTAGCTTTCTCAGCCAGGAGGCCGCTTGTTATATTATTTATTCCAATAATATGTAAATTAATGAAATATGTTTCATGACAAACCAATATTTCCCCTAATGCTGATTCAGCAGCAGCTGACCCAAAAATGTCATTGGTCTGACCCTAATGCTAATTCAGCAGCTAACTCACTGAATTTATACATCATCTGACCCGAAAATGTCATTGGTCTGACCCTAATGCTAATTCAGCAGCTAACTCACTGAATTTATACATCATCTGACTCGAAAATGTCATTGGTCTGACCCTAATGCTAATTCAGCAGCTAACTCACTGAATTTATGCATCATCTGACCCGAAAATGTCATTGGTCTGACCCTAATGCTAATTCAGCAGCTAACTCACTGAATTTATACATCATCTGACCCGAAAATGTCATTGGTCTGACCCTAATGCTAATTCAGCAGCTAACTCACTGAATTTATGCATCATCTGATCCGAAAATGTCATTGGTCTGACCCTAATGCTAATTCAGCAGCTAACTCACTGAATTTATGCATCATCTGACCCGAAAATGTCATTGGTCTGACCCTAATGCTAATTCAGCAGCTAACTCACTGAATTTATGCATCATCTGACCCGAAAATGTCATTGGTCTGACCCTAATGCTAATTCAGCAGCCAACTCACTGAATTTATACATCATCTGACCCGAAAATGTCATTGGTCTGACCCTAATGCTAATTCAGCAGCTAAATCACTGAATTTATGCATCATCTGACCCGAAAATGTCATTGGTCTGACCCTAATGCTAATTCAGCAGCTAAATCACTGAATTTATGCATCATCTGACCCGAAAATGTCATTAGTCTGACGCTGATTCAGCAGTTAACTCTATTTATGCATCGTCTGACTCAAAAATGTCATTGGTCTGACCCTAATGCTAATTCAGCAGCTAACTCACTGAATTTATGCATCATCTGACCCGAAAATGTCATTGGTCTGACGCTGATTCAGCAGTTAACTCTATTTATGCATCGTCTGACCCGAAAATGTCATTGGTCTGACGCTGATTCAGCAGTTAACTCTATTTATGCATCATCTGACTCAAATGTCATTGGTCTGACCCTAATGCTAATTCAGCAGCTAAATCACTGAATTTATGCATCATCTGACC